CTCCCTCCCCCCCTCCCTCCCCCCCTCCCTCCCTCCTTCCCTCCTCACGTTCAGAAACAAAATGTGCTTTAATTTGTTTGTTTTGTTCTTTCTTCTCTTTCCTTTGAAGTAGAATGTAGTTCGCTTTTTAGGTTTTGTTTTGTTTTGTTTTGTTTTGTTTTTTTTGTTCTAGAAAGGAAGACTGTAGAGCTTGCCGTAGCTGTAGGCTCAACAAGGCTCCGCTTACCCGTGGCCGTGACCCACTATCGGGGGTTTAGTTTATGTTTCGTGTATTCTCCAACGTGGTCACTCTAGGGCCGTGGGATTTTCATCTCGGATGGCAAGGAGCCATGTACAGTCGAAACCAGAACAAAACCTCGAGAAGTGGGACACGGCCCCGGTTTCTACAGGGTCGAAGTTGATAGCTGGGAAAGCTACTGGTGGTCGAAATGCTTCCCCAAGAAAAAGTCCAAAAAAAAGAGAAAAGAACTGCCTTCTCTCGATTTCACTTCTCACGTCGAGGGTCGCTGTGAGAGGACTTTCTATTTAGAGAGTACTGCAGGACGAGCACTGCCCACCGGCGCTCCTCAAAAGAAAGACACTGCTCTCGAAGGACCCTCGGCGACAACTCTCGATGGACTTTCGAGAGTGGAGGAACAGACAGTAAGTGGATCAGGCTCCGCTCTCGATAATTGCTGAATCAAGACTACCGTCTTCCCCCAAACACAACGCACCCTCATTTTCGCTGCACCGGGCCGGAAAAATAGCTTGTATACATTCGTTATCAGGGTGCGTTGTGTTCGGGGGAAGACGGTAGTGGAGCGAGGTCCTTACTCCACCTCTTGACTTTTTTTGCGGTTGTTTTTCGAAGTGAACTGCTGAGACCTAAAATTCCAGGTACCATTTAGACGTCATTGTTCACTTCTCCCCGCCATTTTTTTTTTAATCGGCTATTCACATCTAAAATTCCAGGGGCTAGGTCCCACTTGCGCGAATCAAGAGATAGACACCGTAGATAGCAAAGATCAACGGCCCAAATCTCCTGATCCGTGGAAGTGGGACCTAGCCCCAGGTATAAGAGATCAGCTCACCCCAACGAGGTAACGTCCGAGGAAGAGCGAGCACCAACGGGCCCAGCTAAAATCAAATCCAGATGCTGGCAATCAGATTAACAGAATAAAATAAGTCGGAACTACCTGGGGCAGGTCGGTTCAGTGGTCATATCTCAAGGCCGTCTCCCTCCAAGAAGAAAAAGAAAAGATTTTCATTTAAAAAAAAATAGGGTGAGCGAGCGCGCAGATGAGATACACACATCAGCGGGGTCAGCAACATCAGCGGCTAAGACAGCAGACTCCAGGAGAGCACGACCTGCCTCCTGATACATACAAGCACGGAAATAATGATAACGAGCCCTATCTTTTCCCTAAACAACTTGAAAATAGTAAATAAACAAATAATGACCATGACAAACGCGTAAATAGACGGGACGGAAATCGATTCTTCTTCTTCTACCATGACAAGCGCGTACATAGACGGGACGGAAATCGATTTTGTCTTCCTTTTTTCCCGCCGATCCTTCGGCAGATGCACCCAGGGAAACCCTGTTACAACTTCCTTCTTCCTCAAAACGATAAGGCCCCAGGTCCAATGAAGGTCTCACAGCACCCTCAGAAGAGAACCCCCGCGGATCATCGCGATCCATCACTGCCCCATTGCGATCCAGACAGACGCCACACAGGACCATTCAACCGGTAGGAGCAAAGGACGGCTTGACACTGTACAGAGGGCAGGGACGTAATCAGCGCGAGCTCATGACTCACGCTTATTAAGCATTTACTTTTCCCTCTTTCCTTTGCACTCCTACGGACTTTCATTGCCCCCCCGCACAGATCCTATCGAGTGCTAGCAAATCCAAGCATGATGATGCATTCGTTCGTGGAATTGGAGGCAAGCCCACGATTGACGTTTCCGATCTGAGCACGCCCTAACGATTAATGGCTCCGCGCCCACTATTGACGGTTACGATCTGAGGACGCGCACAAGATTCACGGTTCCGATCGAAGCTCGCCCGAGATGGACGGTTCCGATCTGAGCACACCCACACGATTGACGGTTCAAATCTGAGCACGCCCTAACGATTGACGGTCCGGATTTGAGCGTAGGAAGAGGGAGGTATTCTTACCTTTCTCTCTTTCGGTGAGAGATCGACTAAGCGTTCAAATACTTACAAGATTGACAGGACAACTCTTCGACGATAGGAAAATTCAAAACTGGAATTAGTTCGAACACTGAAGTTCGATGGCCAAACTTGGACGGGACGGAACCACTTCCTTTTTCTTGCGGATCGAGCTCAACGGGCATTGGCTAAAATGGTTTTAGAACCCGAATGGCAAGGGAAGCCCGTTTTGAACCTCACTCTGGGAATTCGTACACGGTCAAACACCCACAAGACGAAGAAACAGGCACAGCAGGAAAGGTCGATTTCTCATAGATGGACGCAGTCGGTCTCAGGGCATACTCAAACCAAGAACCTTCATTGATGTATCTGGTTATGATTACGGCCAAGCCTGGACGTATCTGAGCCCAATCACGTCCAGAACTCAGTCGAAGAAGTGCTAGTGGGAGTAGGCCTTAACTCCACAAAACTCAGGTATACGCCATACCGTTCAAAAACATGACACTGTCCAACAAGACGGATTATCAAATAACAGAATGAACAATTAAAAAGAGCAAATTTTTCAACGGCAGCAGAGACAAATCCAAACAGGTTTTGGCCTGGGCGATTTCCACCAATTATCCCAACTCCGTATGTCCGCCAACTGCACGGTCAAGAATCCTCCCGCGGAGTCTGTCCAGTGCAGAGACAACCCTCTAAATCTCACCTCTCACTGACATCAATGAAAATCGAAGTTACACACATACTTTATTGAAAGAATAACACCGATAAGCAGACCGAAAGCGTAGTCGGATAAAAAGGTCGTAGTATAAATCGATAAGCAGACCGAACTCGTAGTCCGATAAAAAGGTCGAAAAGTAGAAAGAATAACACCGATAGACGTCAACAAGGAGGGAGAGGGAAGAAAAGTCAGAGACAGAGCGAGAGAGACATAGGGGGAGAGAGAGAGAGAGGGAGAGAAGAGACAGACAGAGAGACAGAGATAATATTGATGCCAAAATTCAGCTCTATTCCCTAACGCTGTGTAGTGGCGCGCTTCCATATTCGACGATCATCACGAATCGTGGAAGGCTTTATTAGCGACGCACGACAATCCCGTCAATCGAATACCAATCTTCCGCCATCGCCGTCATACTCTATTTGCGAGCCTAATTGCGAGCGGCAAGCGAAATGAGTTCTACATCAAATGACAGTGTGGCGCGCATATTAAGATGGGACACGCACCTACTTTAACCCCCCCCGATGGATACCAATCCAATGGCCGGAAGATCGAAGCAATTACAACTCCCCCCCCCCCTCTCTTCTCCTCCTCCCTCCAATTATCACGGAAGTCCCGCCACCGGTAAGCATGCGACAGAGCACCTCGGAGTCCGCTGAACAGTCGCGAATGTTCCTGCCCGGATCGCGCGTACGAGTGAGTCGGTCATATTGAAGTCTTTGAAGCACGTACAGACTTGACTCCTTGAAGTCGAGCGCCATTCCGACTACGCGGAAGGTTTCCGCCGCCGCGACAGTTGACAAGAGGCCGGAGTCCGCTTTTCCATCCGCCAAGGCGACCCCTTCCGCCCGTGACTTCTCCGGCTCGTCATCCCCGAGCGCCCCTCGCGTTTCGGACCAGTCGACGGCAATATCTACTTCCTTTGACTCGTCAACTTCGTCACAACCGTACACGTGCCTCGCCGTCCGCAGTTCTACATTAGCGCAGCGCAGCACCCCCGCCGATCCCTTTCGCACGTCTTTTCTACGACCCCTCATCGGAAAGCGTATAGCGCGTCTCGGACGAGTGGCCGCCGTATCTATTTCCTTTACCTCGTCAACCTCGCCATCGCTGGTACACGTGCCCGGCCGTTCGCCGTTCTGCTAGCGCAGCCTAGCACCTCGGGCGACCCCCATCTTTTCGTCAGCTCTCGTTCGCCATAATACCTATTTTTTTCCCCTACCTCATCTACTTCGCCATCGCTGGTACACTTGCCCGGCCGTCCGGCGTTCGGTTTCGGCAGATTAGCACTTGGACCAGCTGAGGTGGAAGACTTCCGTTAGCTTCAGATCCGTAGAATCAATGGTCATCAATCCCTGGTTTCCCGACGTGCCAGGATTGACTCGCACCTCCGACTTGATGTTGAGGTTCCTCACTTTGCGACATTGGCTGTAGGCGGCGCCAACGAATCTGTCCGTGAACTCGAAGTTGTCGTCGAACGGGCCTTTCATGACCCGCGTCGTCCTCGACGTGCCGCCTAGCCCGGAGATATGGTAACTGGTCTGAACTGTCCCCGTGACACCTTCCTCAAGCATTCCGTACCCGCGCATGGTGCACGTACCCAAATGGAAGATAAACCCCGCAGGGTAAATCAGCTTGACCGTCAACGTGCAGACCTTCCTCCTATCCTGACTTGTCGAGTCCGTCGTAGCACTGTAATTGCTGAACATCACCGTCAGCGCCTCCGCGTCAGATGACATGACACCTTCGGCGCTTCCTGGGGGACAGCCATCGCCGGCGTAGGTGAGTTCCGAGATCTTCACCGTCCCTCGCGGCGGAGATATGCAGCGCTTGGCGAGTGCGTTGGAGGCTAGTGCAAGGAATGCAAACAAGAACAGCGCCACCGCAGCCGATCGCTCCATCGTCATGGCCTGCGTCTGCTCCCCTCGTTCCTCTCTCCACTCTCCCCTGTTCCTTGAGCTGAACCAGAGACGCAAAAGCTTGCAGGGGAGCTTGATGGCCCTCGAGGTTCGAACCAATCCCCGCCACTCCGTCAGACCTGCTCTTCGCCTCTCATGTGGGTTGGTCACAACAAGAGAGATCAGAGCTGCTGATCCCACACTACAGAAGGGCACTTGTATGAAAAATTTGAGACCCACAGCATTCCGGGAGAACAGGACGCCTGCTTTCACGGGAGAAAGGGTCTCGCCGCCCGGCACACGAAACGAAAACGAGACGAGTCCATCTGCCAACGAAAGGTGGCAAAATACAGTCTTTACTATTTATAGCAAACCGACGAACCTGGCTTCTCCGCAGGAAGATGCACTCGTTTCGGTTTTCGTTTCGTGTCCCGTGCGGTGACGCCCGAAATACAAACACATGACGACGTGTCCATATGCGCGCGACTCACAAAAACTACCTGGAAGTCACAAAAACGAGTTGTAATTGCACTACAGGCCACGATACGGTTTCGAATGGCAGTTCGGGCAATGTATACAACCCAGCTTTCTGGCCAGGTAGGGTGCCCCAAGTGCAATTGCAAACTGTATCTTGCCCCATAGTGCAATTATAACTCGTTTTTTTTTTGTTTTGTTTTTTTTTTCCCCTAGCATAGACTCTGGCTCCTTTCTATTCGTGGGGAGCTGCACGTGTTGGGAACCGGGCCCAACGTCCCTCATAAATCAACATGAGGCCGGGGCCCAGGTCCCACTTACGCTGATTGTTCAGTTCTGGCCGTCGATGTTGCTAATCTAAGGTAGGGAATTGAGAATTCAGGTAAGTGGGACTTGGCCCCGGGGTCCTCACAATCTACCCGGAAAAGAAAGCGTAAAAGTACCGGGAGCATTACCCGGCTTCGCTTCTGGGGGAAAGTTGAACATTGTGAAAAAGAATCTACAGAGAGCCCTTTGGACAGTAACTGAGTAAACACCACTACCCTCTTCCCCCGAACACAACGCCCCCTCATTTTGGCTGTATCTGGCCAGAAATATAAGCTTGTATACATTCATTCTTAGGGTGCGTTATGTTCGGGGGAAGACGGTAGGAGGTATAGGGAAGTTGCTAGACTCTGAGGACATACTCACACGGCTACCCAAATCCGCAAAATATGCGGATTTGGGAAGGGCCGATTTGAGGTTTTGGGCATGGTTCACGTCACACTGCTGTGCCTTTTCAGATGGGACAAGGTCGTGGCCGTCTGGAGAAATGGGAATTTGGTACTTGGCTGGTCACACGGGGCCATCCACAAATTGTGCAAGAACTTTTGTGAACGAACTTTTGCCAAAGGGCATTTGCAGTCACCTCCAGAGGTGACCGCAAGAGGTGACCGCAAGAGGTGACCGCAAAATCCGTAGCCACGCGGCACAGGAATAGTACATTTGTGAATTTGGTAGATAAGTGTGACCGGCCTTTTCCCCTTTTTTGGGGGATTTTGGGATTATAGGTCCCCGTGTGAGTATGCCCTGAATGCAGGATAGTTGAAGTGCTGGGCATAGTACCAGCTATATACAGGACTCAGGATCTGACTGGAAGGTGATCCCATAGGGCCTAGTTGCACAACTTGCCATAGGCGCCTGGTTGCACTTACTCGCCAAACTTGGCGAATACAAAATGTGTCAGACGGCTCGCCACACCGTCGAGAATTCAGTTTCCCCGCCTGTGCACAGCGGTTTGTGGAGGGTGGTCCTCGGACCTCTCCACAAAACAACTTTCTGGACAGTGCAGGGCTTCACGAGTCGACATCAGGTAGACAATTCTTTTAAACTTTTCTGTAGAAGAAATATAGTGGCGAGTAAGTGCAACCAGGCCTTGAGTTTGACACGATCCTCATTTTTTTCACACTCCACGCATCCGCCACAAAATGTGACGGATGGCGAGTAGTGCAACTAGGCCCATAGAAGGTTTGAGTAAACTAATTTCTGATCTTCCCAGAGGTCCGCCCACAGGAAAGGGGAGGACCATTTCTTCCGAAACTGCCAGATTTTTTTTTCTTTTTTCTTTTGAAAGTTAAGATACCGGGGCCATTACCCGCCTTTGACTCAGAGATATTGGAACAACTTCAGACATGTCTACAACAATCTTCATGATTTAAGCAGACCCCCCAATCAATCCCATTGAACCTACTCCAGCAAGACTTACTGCAGCAGAGCCACCATCTCTGCTGCTGCTGTGCTCTCTTCCCATCCTACCAGCTAGTCCACTCACTAGTAAGACGCGTGACACCCCGCCATCTTTTTTCCAAAGGACTACAAATGCCACAGTTCTGTCTTCGTCATCGAAAGGGAGATCCCGAAAAGTCAACAAGTGCAATAGTTCTGTCTTTGTAATCGAAGGCGAGGTCCCGGATCACCCTCCCCAACTCCATCCTAGCAAAGGGTTCGAAGGACCATATCCTCAGCACGAGCCAGACACAATCCTCATCCTGCAATCTCTTGCCCCCTCGGAGATTCCAGTCTCTGTCTTCAAGAGAGCAAGCAAGTACTGCCTGAAGAAACTGCCAGATAGCCAAATCTGAAGAAGGAAAGTTGTTTCTTTTTTTTCTTTTCTTTTTTCTTTTTTAATTAAAAAAAAATCCTTTTTCATTCGTCTTATTAAAAAAGCCCAGGTTGTTGTAGCGGTGGGATACTAGACCAATGGCAGTTACCCACAGTACCCGGCCACTCGGTTGTCCAGCTGAATCCCTCTGAAGACCCCACCCACCCTTCCTCTTATCATTTTTGCCCTGGCGCACCCCTGTGACGCTGAACCTTATGCCCTGTGCTGCTTTCCGATCAAATTGTTTTGATTTGCGGAAGGGCCCGGGAAGAACAGCCAAAATGGGGTGTGCCAAGGATTTTTGGGAAAATTGAGTGTGGGTACACAGACGGAACTGAAATCCCCCGTGTTGGTCCGGCTTTAGTAAGAAAGGGTCCGTCGCCGCGCGATCTAAGGAAAACGGCGCACGCAGGGTTTCACGATGATGAGGAAGTCAATCCAAAAAGTATCGTTGTACTTCCCAACGAGTCGTTGTCCTACGTTTCGAATGAAAGGGGGAGGGCACATACGTGGTATCTCGTTTTCGGATGAGATCTCGCCGACGTTTACTACACAGTTCTAAATCCGACATGGAGGGCCTCAATCAAGTGACTCTCTCCTTATGTTCGTCCTCGCCACATGTGCGGCAATGGAAGCCTTTGGCTTGGTAAAGCTCGGTATGACAATAGTCGCTACACAAAGTGTTAGGCCAATTAGGTGTCACTGCCGCCCACAGGATGACGATTAACTCATTAAACGGCAGCAACAACAAATAAGGCGGAAAATGCGTATCGATAATTACGAATCCCACGCCAACGAATCCGGAGCACTGGGTCTCAGGTAGGAAGTAACAATGTCCGCCGATCTTGGCGATGGATTCTCGTATGTCCCACTCACATACACGTGTCCTTTCCTCGTTGTACGGGAAGGGGCGTGGCGGAGGCACGGGAAGTTGGTGCCCAGTCGGATTGGGGCAATCGGTCCACATGGTAAAAGGGCAAAGCACAAGATTCTTCCTAATCATGTGTCTTTCTTCTTTCAATCCAATCTCGCATTCCATGAGATCCATCAACATCGTCACACAACTCCTCAAGCGCAATCCACTGTATGCATGTATCAAAGTAGGAGGAGAGAAATCATCATAATCCATTCATTGTAGCAGAAATATAACAGCAAGGAGGTGCGATGAAGGCGAGACATGGATCGAAAGAGAGAAGAATGCAAAAACCTGAACGTAATTACACACAAAAAAAGTATGATGACCTTGTCGAAACATTCCAGCTTAAATGTCGCGTGAACATAACTCATGCTCGAAAACTAGACTTGAAGCAAAAAGAGGCGCATCTGCCATTACATTCCACTGTGGCCTCGGGCAATACATTCACTCGGCTTCCGATCTCGAACCTCACATAGGCACTGATGATCCCTGTCGTCACGTGCTACGTCCACCATAGCGATCGTCACCCCGCTGACTAAGTCTCTCCACGGTCTTGCCAGGATCCCATAGTCTGTCAGGCGATCCAGCACACAGTCGGCAAGACCGCAGTCAACTCGTAAGGACTTTTTGACTCGCGTATCACACGCATCTTCTAGCCACAGCTTCCCGGAAGCTGACCGATTAGTTGAGAGAGAGTTTTTTAGGGGCACTTGTGAAATTTATAGTTGCGAAAACGGGAATAGATGCTAGGAAGGATTACGACCGAGGTGGGGAGGGATAAGGGAAAGCTCGGATATAATCGTCCGAGGAAAGCCATGTCGATCCTTCTGAGCCCAATCATCGTCAATTAGAATCGTCCTGTAGCAAAAATCTCCCTTTTACACGGCCCATCTCCTTGGCTAGAGGGGAGGAGGAGGAAATTGACAGGGTATTCCGATGCAAGTTTTTAGAGCGGGAAGAAGAAGAGCGTGAATGATAGGGAGAAACAAAACCAAGATTCGAACGATCAAGAAAGAGAAAAGGCGCGCGAGGCGAGAGAGAGAGGGAAAACGGTTACAGAGAGAGAAGGGGTGAAAGCGTGAAGAAAAGAGTGTCGAAGGTAGCGAGGGAAGCGGGGAGGGGAGGTTTGCATGCATGGCGCTGCCGCTGAGGCAAAAAGGGCACCAAATTAGTTACAGCTAATTCAAAATTGAAAAGTATCATATCCACCCGTAGAACGAGCGTGGGAAAAAGTCTTATACCTATTCAGATTCTCACGAAAATTCCGAAAGTTTCCCAAAACGAAATCGAGATCATTCATGCACAAGAAAGGACACGGCAGGTTTCGCTCATTCCGGAATTCCTAACCGTCGACCCAAATTCCTAGCGCGCTTGCTAAGGCGCCCGTATTTCTCATGTATTTCCTGAATTACAAAAGATGGAATTCCAAAAAGCGGCCCAAAAATGACGAGGGTCCTGAGAAGGATGGGCTTCCCTGATTATGAACAATGCGCATTAATTCATGCAAATATAAAAGGGAGCCTCTTCGGCCTGTTTGCAAGAAAACAAAAATTTGAAAAAGAGGGGGGGGGTTGGA